GTGCACTGATAAGCGGTATAGAAATGTATTTGCTATTGCTATTGCTAACCTTTAGCGAATGTGGAGGGACCACTGTAAAGGTATAATTTAAATTTTGCTAGTTGTTCATGTCCCAACTATTACCATTACATCCAGTGATATATGGGAATGACAATTTATGAGTAACATTAATACAAAAAACATTTACTAAGAATTATAAATGGGATGGGATGGGAGGAGGTTAATGGGGGGGTGACACTATGAGTTACTGCACTGGGTGGCACCAATCCTAGTGACGCCACTGCTTGTTGTTAAACTTGCATGAATGCTTAGCTTCTTTTGCCTGACATTTTGTCACTGGGGCTGAGATGCTTTACTACTTGCACTATATGAGATGGTCTCCTTTGCCAGTCTACCCAGAAAAAGTGATACCAGTTTGAACCTGCATAGCTTTGATAGATGTTGCCAATTAGAACAGGCAATACTCAGCTAGATGGACAAATTGCTTCACCTAATATAAAGTAGCTTCCTACATTCCAGTGAAGTGTGATTGAGTTCAGTGGCTGCTGGTGACTTCCCTGTCAGTGGAATGGGGGATCCAATCCAGGTTTTAGCCTGAACTTTAAAGGAACTACCTAAGGTACTCAAAGGGATCTTGTAGCACCTTTGAGACCAAATGAAAGGACCTTATCCCACGCTGCTCTCAAAAGTGGCAAGAAAGCGATATGAGCATCATTGCAGTACTATAGCGCTAGTATAAATATGGCGCTAGCGCTATAATAGCGCTATGGATAAGCTCGCGCTATTGCAATGCCTGCTGAAACCGACATTCAAAATAATGCGATTCATGTTGCATTCCGATCGGTTTCTTGCTGGATTCTGAGCGACGTCGTGTAATCACACGGAAAACTATAGCGCTATAGCGCCTGATTCTTAGCGGATTCTGAGCGACGTCGTGTAATCACACGGAACGCTATAGCGCTATAGCGCCTGATTCTTAGTGGATTCTTGCTGCTTTTGGCCCCGTGGGATAAGGTCCAAAGAGAGAATTCCTAGCATGAGTCTTCATAGACTTGAGCCTACAATTTTCAGGAGTCTCCAGCCAGCATGGCCAATAGCTTATCAAGAGATTCT